TACTACTCAGGTTGTCTGTCTTTGGCTGGCTGGCAGCAATAATGTCTTCCTGATCTGTCTCATGCTTTTTGCTCCTATAGCTGGTCTTATCAGAAGGTTCCTAAGTGTGGAACCCTGTGGGAAGGGCAAAGGCAGCCCCAAGAAACAAATAGTCATGAATTATCCATCCAGAAGGTGGTTGTGTTTGGACTGAATGCCTGGGAAAGCCCTAAGGGCACTTCCAAGGGGCCCTGAAGATACTAACAGCAGGGATTTATCTGTCCCAAGTGTGTTCCTAAATACCCTCAGTTGTTTTGGATAAGGGCATGATTAATTTTTTCCTGTTGTGTTTAATTCCTGTTAGTTTGAGAGATCTGGCCAATCTTCTTTGCCAGAGCTGTACATGCCCTTCATGTCTAGCCAGGCTAAATTCTCATGGCACTGATGGAGAAACTGAGGGAAAGGCTTCTCAGACAGTAATGGCAGAGCTGAACTCCTGTGAAACACTCTTCTCATATCACACCTTACCCTAAGTGACGGATGACAGAGTCAAGTTTCAGAAATAATAATTGACTTGACCAAGGTCAAACCAAGAGCCTATGATTGGGATTATGAAATTTTGAATTTCTGTGCAAATATCAGCAAGTGCTTTATCTGGGTGGCTTTCTGCATTAGGAATATGCATGCTCTTGAAGCCTCTTTCACAAGCCCCCACTCGCCATGGGTCTTCCCTGCCACTATTAGCCAAGATGCCAAAGGGTTCTGGAAATCAGAGTAATCTGGCACTGAGCCAGGGCTTTATCTTGAGGAGAGGCAGCAGCCCCTGCCTAGCCATATAGCTCACATGCTTCTCATTATAGTCTGCAGGAGAGAGATGAGGCCCCAGCAGCTTTTGCTTTCTGTTGTACAGCAGGATTTCCAAGGGACTGGGAAGCATTGCTGGATGGAGGCCAAGTTAGGCTGGAATTCAGTGTTTCTGCTAACTTTTCCCACCCTCTGCTCCTGCTCCTTTTCCTTAGTCTTACTTGACCCAGTTTTACCATTTAAAATAATATAAAACAATCTTAGAACATTATAGTTGAAACACATCTTCATCAACTTATAGTTCAACTCTTTCATTTTGCAGATTGAGTGTTTCAGGCCAAAAGCACAAGACAATGGATAAACTGCTCCTTTCTCTTGAGTTTCTCAAGAGACTCCATCACAGGATTTTTTTTTTTTTTTTTTTTTTTTTTTTTTTTTTTTGTCTCTGGGTCAGATGCAGGAGTACAGGTCTGGGAGAGAAAAGGAGGATATACAGCCTCAGGTTCTGAAAAACCACCCATTAGACCCTGTGGTTCTTACTGTTCATGAAGACAGGCATACATGCCTGGCATCTAGCCTCTGCACAGTTTGTTGGCAAGGAAATGGTGACAACCTGCAAGAGAGCCCCACATTGGGCCAGTTCTTGAGGCCTAATTCCCAGTTCCAAGAGGGATTTTTTTTTTATTTCCAAACTTTGGCAAGGCCTCCTAGAGGATGTTAAGAGGCAACTAGATACAATAGGTAGCAATTAGAGCTGATTAAAATCAGTTAATGCCATCCTTTGTGTTATATAATGGTATTAACTCTTAATTACCATAATGGGCTTGGTTGATAGGTGGATCTGGTTTTATCTCATAGTTGTGTGTGAAGCTGGAGTGTCTCCTGTTCTTATTCCTAAATTCTGCCTACCTACCTCAAAACAATCTGGTCAAGTTCAAAGTTTCCCTAACAAAGAGATGTCCTCAGATGGCATTATCCTCTCAAAAACCCAACTAATCCACCTAACAAACCCACTGTGAGCAACAATACAGAAAACCTTTTTTTGTAGATATGAGGATTGAACCCAGGGGCACCTACCACCCAGAAACATTCCCAGCCTTTGTTTTCTGGGGTTTTTTTGTTTGTTTTTGTTTTGGTATGGGGAGCCACACCCCCAGTCCCATTTTGTTTTTTATTCAGAGACAGGGTCTTACTGAGTTGCTTAGCTCCTCCATTGCTGAGGCTAGCTTTGAACTTGCAATCCTCCTATCACAGCCTCTCAAGCCTCTGGGATTACAGGCATGCGCCACAGTGCCTGGCCTCCTCCAGCCTTTATTTTTACTTTTTGAGACAGGGTCTCTCTAAATTGCTGAGGCTGGCCTCCCACTTGCAATCTTCCTGTTTCAGCCTCCTGAGTCTTTGGAATTACAGGCATGCTCACCACACCTGGCTGCAACACAAAAAATCTTTAGAGCCTTAAACAGACTTGACCTCCACTTCTCCCACAAGTTCCTGGGCAAATTGGCCTGCTTATTGACCAACTACGAACTATTGGCAAATCTTTGGGCCTCTTAAGCCCTTAGTAAACAGATCAGGTCTTAGCCTTGGCCCTGGGATAACCTGACTCTGCTGGCTGCAAAGATTGGTGGTTGGGGGGGGGGGGCAGGCAGTGCTCCTTTCTCTGCCTGCAGCCAAGGTCTTCAGTCAACTTCACAGACACAAGTTGCAAATGACCTTTATGAAAAGATCGGCTGTGTTTCCTGTGGCCCTTCTCTGTTGAGAGAGAAAAACCAGCCATTGCAAAGTGATTGTCTTTGTTTTGGAGTCAATTTTTTTTCTCAGCCCAAAAGAAGGCCCAGAATAGTCAGTGCTCCTGGTCTGGATTTAAGCTTCCTAGACACCCACCTACTAGCTTAGTTTTCCTGAAAGGCCCCTTTGTCGCCTTCTCAGGGTGTCCAGCCAAGCCCAGAGACCCCCAGGGACATGCTGCCTGAGGTGTTTGAGACAGGCGATGTGTCGCATATCCTAAAGCATAAGGAACCTGGGTGAACCCCCTAATGGTTTCTTTCATGTCAAGGTGTTTTCTAAAATCTACCCCCACCAAAATGGGCATTGGCTCCTTCCACATTTTAGAAAGCCATACCTTTCTTTGTATCCCCTATCTAGTCATTGTACAAGCCATCGTCCCTCTTCCCCTTCCTTTTCCCATACTTTACTTGAATCTGAGAATATCAGTGTGACCTGATCCCAGGTCCTGATACCTGAGACACTCAGACATAGGCTCAGAAAGAAGAAACAGCATTCCCTTTATCTCAGAATCCAATGCAAAGACCAACTTCTTGAGGCCAGGGGCCATGTCCTCCCTTTCTTTAGTCCTGCTAGATTCAGTTAAGTTGGGGCTCTCACAAAGACTTTGAACCCTTCATTGAAGAACTTAGAAGGGGCCTGAGTAACTACTTAATCCAACTGCTGTCCTTGTTGACACCCTGCTTCCCCCAACCCATTTTATAGATGGTAGAAATGAAGATCTGAAAAAGGACATGTTATGTGCTATGTGGTCTTGCCTAGTAGCACAACATGACCACAGGCCCTTGCTCCCCTAGGTCCTCTCCTTCCTGCTCCTGGGCCTGATGTCTATGATGATTCCCCTGTGCCGGGACTTCGGGGGCCTCATCGTTGTCTGCCTCTTCCTGGGCCTGTGCGATGGCTTCTTCATCACCATCATGGCCCCCATCGCATTTGAGCTGGTGGGCCCAATGCAGGCCTCACAGGCCATTGGCTACCTCCTGGGCATGATGGCCCTGCCGATGATTGCTGGGCCCCCCATTGCAGGTGAGGTTGATTTCCAGGGAGGGCATGAGTCAGAGACCTGTTTTCCATAGGCTGTATCTCTGTTTAAGGTCCCCTTTCCTCATATTTTCTGCATAAGCAGCCTTGTCAGAGTGCATGAAACCCCTTGCCACCATTGGTGAAGGAGATTAAAAACAGTACACAGGCATGGATTCATTTGGGGGGGATGGGTTTTCCATGATGGTGTTTCAGTGGGGTTTTACTATAGTCAGCATGGCTCCTTCCAGGAAAGTAGAGGGAAAAATGGGTTTGACCTTCTTGACCATTCTATTTGTCCAGTGTTCTCTTGCTCCCCTCACAGTTAAGTGATTATTTAAGGTAGTCGAGTAAAAGAGGTAGGGAAAAAAAGAAAGCTGGCCCTAGTTTTATTAAAACTTTGAGATGTCCTTTTCTTTCTCCTCCTCTACTGGCTTAAGAATTAAACTTATTAAGGAAACATCCCAAGACTGAGCCAGTGAGGTTCACCTCCAGCAGGCAGCAGGCAAAGTGCTGGTGTGCCATTTTTCAGCACTCCTAGTTTCTCCCTCCATCCTCCCAGGAGAGCACTGTTGGTAACCGAGGGAACATAAGAAATAAGAAACCCAATGAAAAGAGAAGTTCATTTCCTTTCTAGGGTTTTATTACAAACACTGATTCATGGGTTAGCCTCCCCTAAGTTGGTCAAATGGGCTAATTCAACAAATACTCCTTGAACACCAATTATGTACAAGGTGTTGTGAGGGTGCCATGTGACAGTGGCAAAAGGTTTCATTCAGGCTCTTGTGCAACAGTCACACTGCCTACTGGGGGAGGGGAGACTCTATCCAGTCCCCGATGGCAACAGTGGTCCAGAATCCACAACTCTTTCCCTTTTTCTTATCTCCTGAGTAAGCAAAGGGACAAGGGCATCCTTGCCTTTGCTTCTGGGCTCATCCTCCTTATGAGGTAGCTCATGTTAGCTTCTAGAGGTGAACAGGAAGAGGCCTTGCATCCCATGCCAAACACATCCATGGTATTGGCAGCTTAGAGGAAGCCAGAGGGGCCAACCATATCTAAAACGGAAAAAAAAAGACATGTATGACTTCTTCCTAGGGGAACTGGAACTTCAGAGAAAGGGAACCTCAGAGAAAAAGTAAATAGGGACTCAGCTAAATTGTTCCATGAGAATAAATGGGAGTAGGGGTGGGGAATATCACTGTGAACAGAGACAAGGCTTGGCCTTCCTTCCTTGGAATTATTTTAAACTAGATTCCCTCCTAACACCATCCCTAGGAGTGACTGGAAGGTAGCTATAGTTTGATGAAAGTTACAAATGTGGAAATCTTAAGAGGGGCTTCATTCTCTCCTTTCATAATAAGCATTCAGCTCAAGGGCCCACAGCCCCATTACCTCAGGGAGGAACCACTTGCCTTTAAGTTGAGGGAACTCCCAAGTCAAGACAGTGCAGGCCAAGATTCTCTGGATAGGCACTGGGATGGCCCCTAGAAGAGGCAGAGAGCAACTTTGGGTGGTAGGGAAAAGCCGAGCTTGACTTGTGTCTCTTGACTGTTTCAGGCCTCCTCCGCAACTGTTTTGGGGACTACCATGTGGCCTTCTACTTTGCCGGTGTGCCCCCCATCATTGGGGCTGTAATCCTCTTCTTCGTCCCTCTCATGCATCAAAGGATGTTCAAGAAAGAGCAGAGGGATTCCAGCAAGGATAAGATGTTGGTCCCTGATCCAGACCCCAATGGGGAGCTGCTGCCAGGCTCCCCAAACCCCGAGGAACCAATCTAATGCCTCTTTTTTGCCATTGTGTGCTCCTCCCCAGCTCTTCCCCTTATCCCACCCTGCTCAGCATTTACATTTTTTGCCACCAGCACACTAGTTCCCAAACCTGTGCACACAGCATTTCAGCCACCTGACCATCCCCTTGGAGCCAAAGCTCTAGGTGTTCCAAACTCATTAACCAAATTTTCCCCATGAATGCCTTTAAACTTGCCAGGGCCCTTCTTCTCCCAGGAACTGGGAAAGCTTGAGATTTCCCCCTGGCCTTTGGAACCTCTCCATATACATTCTAACCCCTGGGGGAGGAGGATGATAGAACCTCCAGGCCCCAGCTTGTTAGTCGCCCACTAAAATTAACTGCCAAAGGTGCTACTGTGTCCCCAGGAGCCTAGTGGGAGAGACTCAAGCCTCTGATTACTGAGAAATTTATTGCCATTCATCCTTGGAAGCCATTTGGGTGGTGGGGGAAGGGAGGCAGAATGAGACAAGGAGCCTTGTTTAGTCTCACAAGTTCCTGAGGGCTGTGGCTTCCTGAGAGCTGTATACAGGTAGTATCCCCATGATATGGTTGGTTAACAGTCTGCTTCTCTCTTCCTTTCCTTTGATTTTTCTCTACTGCCTCCTTTCCATTCTTTTCCCTCTCTATTTCTTTTTATGATTGTCACAGATACATAGGTGCTTGGAGAAAGGAGGGACCCAGAGCTTGGGCCAATCAGCCTCATATTGGCTCAGTCCAGCCCTAACACTAGCATTAATCCCGTTCATCTCAAGCTGAGCCTCATCTCACTTTTTGGCTCAAGCTGATATAATCATAGACTGGAAGAGTAGAATATCACACAGGGAAAGGACCTTAAACACCACAAAGTTCCATGTTCCACCCACTGTTTTTTACAGATTTTCCAAGCCAATGCATTAACCTGGAGGCCTTCCCAGTCCCCCATCCTTGTATCCACCTGTCAAATGTGAAGAAACTCCTTTCATCTCAGCAGGCAGAGGAGGACTAAGGACAGTGAGCTGGCGTGGTGCAGGGAGGGCCAGTGGCTATTGACATAGTGAAAGACCAATTCCTCCATCTCTTAGTTTTCATGACAGGTCAATATTTCCACCTGGCCAGGACAGGAAATGGACTGTTTTAGGAAAAACCTCATTCAGAACCTGGATCCCCAAAGGTACAGGCAGCAGCTGCACACAGGGTTGGACAATTTCTTTTAGGAAGGGGAAGCCACCCTAGCTTTTACCACCCAGTGTTTTCCCCATGCTGGACATCCTGGGCCACTCTGCTTAGTGGGCATTAATGGTGCCAGGAAAGGTAGATTCTGGACCACCTTCTTCCCTCTGAAGTAGGTACCAGATGCTTCCCTATACCCAGGCTCTGTGCAACAATCTTACTGAAGAGCATTCCAGGTGCTCCTGGCTAGGGGCAGTGGGCTCTGCCAGGCTGTGTCCAGCTAGCACAGCTCACCTCATTAGGAGCTCAGCCTCTCTCTTCCCTCTGTCTTTGTGTCTCTTTCTTCCCTCTCTGGGCCTTTGTTTATTGTGTTCCTGTCACCCAACCTTTCATCATCTTTTTGCCAGGCACCCCTGGCTGTCACTTGGAGCCAATAGTAATGTGCCACCCTAAACCAGGGTCATCCTACGGCCAGGAGGATGAGGTTGCCCTGAGGGGCTCCAAAGAAGACAATGGTCCCCACACATGAATTTTTCCGTTACAAACAGGCAGCTGGGGCATGGTTGGCCTCTGAAAGTTTCATTCAAGGCCAAAGTCTGAGCCCCCCCACCTCTGCTGGTCCTAGTCCAGCTCTTATCAACTCCCTGAAGGAAAATCCACTGGTTCTTGGCTCTGTAAGTAGGAAAGGGCCTAGTTAGTAGCCTGTCAGCTCAAACAGCAGTGGAACAGGAGAAGATGGACTGCAGGAGCCCTGTAACTCCTGAGAGAGACCATTGGAAATACTAGAGCAACAATGCCCCTGCTTCCATTCCTCCCTGCCCCGAGCCCACTGAGATGCTGGCGGGTGGTCCCGCAGGGCCTCCTTTGTTGCTCAAGACTAGATAGATTTTAAAAATCAGGCTGCCACCCACTTCTCTCCAGTTGAAGGAAAGATATTCACAGGTCCCAAATCTACCTATTCAGGTGTCACTTAACATTGACAGGGCGTCAATTTACTTCTTCCACACATGTGCATATGCATGTGCATGTGTGGGCTTGTGTGCTTTTGGAGAGAATTGTTGGTTGGAAAAAGCAGCACAGTATTAATATTTAGAGTAGGATGCAGCCTCTTAAGCACCACAGTTAAACCTAGGAGAACGAACAAAATTTCAGAGCTTGAGACCTGGGACATTTAAATCCTCAAGGGGTTTGGAACAAAATAAACAGATATAAAAGTTTGGTTTTGGTATGGATGTTGCCTACAAGGGTGAAATAGTCAACCTGGTTAACAGCAGGAAGTTTGGCTTCAGAACTGAAGCCTCATTCTAAATCAGATTTCTGCCAGGGTCTGTGCTCTCTGAAAGAGCGGACATTTGAAAAGGAGAGGAGCTATATAAGGCTTTGGGTTTGGGTGGACTGTTTGAAACTTCATTTGCTAGGGAGCTCTGAAGTGGAAAAGTGGCTACTTTACAAAATGAGAACATGGTTACTGGCTGAGTCAGAGTAAAAGCCTGCCAAGGCCACCACCTTGCTATAAATGTGCCTTCCTGAAAATTGGCAATGACCTTAGCAATATTACAATTCAACCCCTTCTCTCTCCCTTATTGATAGGGAACCTGAAGAGATTAGCTGGGTTACATAGCCCTACAGTGACAGCCTGGAATGGAGGGTGATACAGCAGAGAGACCTACAAGAATGACAAAACTAGGAGTAAACTTAAAGTCTCACTTGTCCATATTCTGCATTGAATTTAAGTGGGGAAATTGAGGCCTAGAGAAACGAAGGGCCTGCTGCAGATTCACACAGTTCATCAGAACAAGACTTGAACTCAGGTAATTAACTTCCAGTCCAATCCAAACCCCTTGTTTGCCAGATGAAGACACTGGCCCTAGAAAGGAAAAAAGGACTCGTCCACTTCACTCAACCACATAGAAGCCCATTTCTAAAAGGGTGTCAGCAGGACCAGCTCTTAGTGGAAATAAAAGCTGAGCAGTGTGACTCTCGGCATACCCCATTGCTTCACAATTACTCTCATTCCCAATCTACACAAACTTTTGGTTTCTCCCTCCCATTCATTCTAGACCTTCAGGAAGCCTTGGCCTTGGAGGCTTCTTTCCACCAACTGCCTTTCTACTCTGAACACCAAGAGCAACCAATAAAGTCCATCTCCTTCTGGCTGTGCAATGGCCAAGACAGGGACAAAGAGAAGAGACTAGTTTCCTTTGGGAGTGGGTGGTTTACCACCCAGTTCTTAGCTATTGTTGTTTCTCCTCTGCTTGGTGCAGACACCCTCAGGCTGCCGGCCTCTTCATCTCCTCCCACTGAGGCTAATTACTTTGTCCAGCTGCCAGGCCTCAGGCTCTCCCACCCAAGATCTGCTGCCCCTCCAGTCCCTCCCCCAGCAGCCCGAAGAGCTCAGTCTGTGTTTGATCACTCAGGATCGTTAGATTTCAAAGCTGTGGAATCCCATAATTTTTATGAGCATATGCTCTCCTCCAGGGCCTTTTCATGTCTGAAAAGGCAGCCAGCAGCTCCCTGCCACTTCTCCACAGTAGCACAGCAAGCCAGCTGATGAGGATTACAAATCCCGGGTGTCTGACAGCTGGTGCCCCATAGAGTGGGACTGGTTAGAGTAAGAACACTTGAAGCAAGTTCTGCAATTGTAGCGGAGACCCCAGAGGAACAAGGAAAGGGATTAGATACCCAGGAGGTTGAGGAGGCTGTTCTTCAAAGGCCCTTGATTCCTGCCTTTCAGCTCTCTCTAGTGGTCATCAGATACAGAGCTCCAGGCCTGGTTTTCATGTCTTTTCAGCAGTATTTCCTAGGAACCTGATGTGTGTCAGGCACTGCTAGAACCCAGGGACTTCAGGAATGGAAAAAAAAAAAGAAAGAAAGAAAAGAAACAGAATTAGAGACAACAATGTGAGGCAACACAAGAAGGAATTTGTACTTTCTTTTTTCCAAAATATCTTCCTCTGGGCCTTAGTGTCCTGGAGTATACCACCCCCCACCCCCGACGTCAAAACTCTACTTTGGGGCAGAGAGGGGACACCACGCCCCCACTCCCACCCAGGCGGGCGCGTCCCCTCCCCCCTGTGCTCCCCGAGACTGGCCTCCCGGGGGCCAGAGTCGCCCGGAAGAACAAATCTAGCTTCAGCGTCGGTTTCCTGCTGAGCCCGAGCCGGATAAAATTAGCCCATTGCTCACATCTAACAAGTGTCAGAGCCCCGTCCAGCTGGGGGAGGGGAGGCGGAGCCAGCCGGGCCTCTTTCGCGCCCGCCGGGGCCAGTGCCACCAGCCGACTGGCAGCACCTGTCCTGTGGCCCCTGCCCAGGGCCCCCTCGCTCCCCTGCTCCTGCCAGAGACTATGGCCCCAACCGACCTAGAAACCCGCGGGGCGACCCCTGCCCCCCTTCCTACCCACCACACTCCCGCTCTATTTGCCCTGGAAGCCACCCTCCCCCCCCCCCGGGATCGAGGGGTGCTAATCGGTACCCTTCCCCCCCAGGTCCCCTGGCCCGCCCCGCACTCTGGGGATGCCTGGGATGGAGATGGGGCTGGGGACCCCGGCTGTGGCTCCTGGTCTTGTCGCCGGCTTCTGGGGGAGGGCAGCGGGGGGTGGTGCACGGGGTTGCCGCCCCTCGGCGGGCCTCCCTCCGTTCCCCCATCGGGGAGGGGTGACCACCCGGGAGCCGCGCCACGGAGACGCATCTGCCCCTGCTACTCAGCGGGAATCCGGCCCGCCCAGGGGCAAGGGGAGGGAGAAGGGCAGGAGGAGCCAGTCTCCGCGCGCCAACGGGCCCGAGGGCCCGAGGGGTAGGCGGCAGCTGCCCGCTCGCCCGGGCTCTGCTCCTCCTCGCTCCCCCACCGCCCGGCTCGTGCCACGGCCACCAGTGGCTGCAGCTGCAGCGGCGACGGCGCCCCAAACTCACCCCCGCCAGCAGGGCGACTACTACACGAGGCGCTCCCCTTGGGCCCCTGAGAGCCCCTTCCGAGGGCCTCCCTCCTCCCTCCACCCGAAAGCGCCGTCCCAAAGCCCCAAGGGTGAAGTCTGGCCGCTGCTAGCGAAGGGCCTACGTGAGCCCAGGCTCGAGGCCGCCAGGATGAGGGGCCTGGGGGCGGGGACCGCCCGGAGGAAACGCTCCTGCGGGGGCAGCCGTCCTCTGCCCTCCTTTCCGACCTCCAACGCTGGGCCCGCCCCGCGGGGCCGCCTGCTCTCTGAGGTCAGCCAGTGGCGCTGCACCAGCCAAAGACTTGGCCCACCGCTCAATCCCCCGCCCAGCCTCGAGGAGACAGTCCCAGAGGAAGCGGGTGTGTGGCTCAGGGCTGGAGCGCACGCTTTGCATGCTCGAGGCCCGTGCACGCGTACACATACAGAGCATAAAGTGAAACGGAACAACAAAAACAAAACTTCCTCAGAACTCTGGGCTTCCACCTCGCGGGCTCAGGCCGGCTCCCCCACCTCACAGTCCCACCAACTGCCCAGAGATCACACAGGTGAGCAGGCACAGTTGCCTAGGCTGGAGAACTCTCTTCGTGGTAGCGGTGGGAAGGAACACCTTGTGTCTTGAGATCAGCCCTCCTCAATTTGCTCCTTACAGACACCCCTCCACCCACTCTCCACCAACCTGCTTCCTTAAGCCGAGGAGGAACCTTCACTAAGGTGGATTGGCAGCCACCTGCACTACCCACACACTCCCTTTCCCAAGGTGGAGGCTTCTGAGGAGGGCCAGCCTCACAGATCCTTCTTTCTTAAGGCCAGAGTTTCCTCCTGTCAGTCTGGGATCTCCCAGCTGTCTGCTTATTTCACACCTCTGCACTCTATACACACTGCAGACACTCCGTCCCTCAGCTCCTGAATGAAGGGCCTCCTCCAGCGCAGCTGGACACAGAGGCCCCCTCTAATGGTAACAAGGGCTCCCTCACCTGTGGGAGGACAATTTACAGTTCACATGTGCTCTCCTATCCTTCATCACACTTGACTCTCTCCCTTCAGCCAAGAGAGGCATCTGCTTTGTGTGTGTGTTGCTGGGGATTGAACCCAGGGCCTTGTGCATGCTAGGCAAGCACTCTATCAACTGAGCTACACCCCCAGCCTGAGGCAGCTGCTTTTAAGTTTCACAGATTGAGAAATTGAGGCCCAGTGGGAGCCAAATGCCATTTGTTGACTTTTGTTGTTAACATTATGTTGACAAAGCATAGGTGCTCCAAACAAATATATCTTAATTAACTTTTTCTAACCAACTGAGTTTTTCACAGTCCTTGTCACAGTTAAGGGTTAAGGTAGTAGGAAGAAATCAAGGGCCAAAATTAAGAACCCCATCTCCAAGGTGCTTCCACTCAACTTCATGGAATGTGAGAAAAATCTTTTTCTCCCCTGACCTCTCAGAAAGCCTGCTTGCTGCTTCTAAAGTCAGTACCTGCCCCACCCCATGCCCACTCTGTCTCCCAGTGAAGGGTCTGGACAGGGAGTGGGAATATAGCACCAATATGGAGGTATGAGGGACAGCAAAACTGAGCTAGAGTCCTTGTGCTTCTCCCATACCAGCCTCCCCATTGGAGGGCATGAGGAAAAGGAACTAGGGATCTGTCATCTGCCTTTATTTTGGAGTACCTATCACTGCCTTCAGGGGTCCTCTGGCCTTCAAAATTGGGGTAAAACTCCAAATGAGCTCCCTTACACCTTGCTTTCTCAGTCTTTTTCTCATCATATAATAAAATCATTACAACTTAATTTTCAGGGCCTTGCTTGATGTCTGTAGGCCAGCAAAAGGTCCTTTGTCTGGTCTAGTTATGGCAGGGGGAGGGGGACATGGAGTAGTTCCCGGGAGGCTCTGCTTTCCTGAAAAAGGACTTGTGTGTCTAAGATATCAACACTAGCTCAAGGGGTCTCTCCCTTTGAGAATTCCAGCACTGGGCCAAGCTACAGAGGGGAAGGGAAAGAGCAGCAAATGTTATGCAAATAAGGGTAAAGGAGCTCCCAAGGTAGCATATGGGGAAGAGAAAAGGGTAAAACATACCCAAAACCCCTGCCCACATGCTTTATTGAAGTGGACTTTTACTGTATGTGCAGCTCCCACCCACATCCCCAAACTGGGGCTGTTATCTTCCACCTGAATTCCACTGACTCCAGTTGACAGATTCCTTATATTTGCAGGAGAGCTTGGTGTTTTCTAGTATCCCCCACCCCTCACTGCTGTTTTTCTTTGGGTTCTAAATCCCCTGATCACAATAAGTCTTTGCCTAAGGCTAGGAGTATAGCTCAGTGTTAGAGCCTGTGCTTAGCAAGCCCAAGCCTTGGGTTAGACCCCTAGCACCAAAAGAAAAAAAAAAAAACAACTTTGTCACCTCAAATAAGTCCTAGCCTAAGCCTTTCCTTCAAGGTGAGTAGTTTCAAGCATTCAAGCAGTCCCTTCAAGGTTAGTACTCACCTGTCAACCACAATGGCTGGGTCCACAAAGCAGGGAGAGCCAAGTTTGATACAGGGCCAAGTTTCTGGGAAAGTCAAGTTCCAGATAAAGCTAGTTCCGGTTCAGTACTTCTGTAAATAGTTGTAACTACTGAATTCCAAAAGCACTTTAACATTATGTTGACAAAGCATAGGTGCTTCAAACAAACATATCTTAATTAACTTTTTCTATCCAACTGAGTTCTTCACAGTCCTTGCTAAACACAGTTAAGGGTTATCCTAGTCGGAAGAAATGGTGGAGAGCTTTTAAATTGCTCTCTGTGAATCAGAGGTACCTCAAGGTCCACTGTAATATGTGGAATGACAGAAGATTATATAGAGAGTTTGGGCCTCTCTTCCCTTTGAGCAGATTAAGTTTTATCATTGAAAAATGGATTCTGCTGTTAAAAATTTAGGACAACTTTATAGCAGGGTGTGGTGGTGTATGCCTGTAATCCCAGCCCCTCAAGGTCAAGACAGGAGGATAGCAAGTTTGTGGTCAGTCTCAGCAACTTAGAGATACCCTGTCTCAAACAAAAATTACAAAAGTTGGGGATACAGTTCAATGGTACAGCACCCCTGGGTTCAATCACTAGTATAAAAAAATTAAAACAATTTTTAAGAATTACTTCTATTCAAGACTTATGCTTCTGGAAAGACCGATTTTACGTATTTTTCTTTGTTCCTTCCATGAAGAACAGCTTAAAATGCTACGTAGTATATAAAACAAACCTGAAATGTGTAGAGAAGGCTGACCAGCTAGGGAACTTAGAACTTCAAGAGCGACTCTCCTGAGGTGAGTGCTCTGTGTTTTCTTTTTGCCTCATATATCCTAGAGTTGGTACTAGAGAAGCCAGAAACCCAGAAATACTAATGGGAATAAAAAGCCCAAGAAAATTTTGCTTTCTCTAGCCAAGAACCAGAAAAAGAGCAGCCCAACAAGACTGAAAACTTTCACACAATAGCCACTCTACTCTTGTCACACATTATGGAAGAAACTGGTCCCATTCTCACTCTAGCCAACAAAAGTGAAGTGGAGAGCCTAGATTTCCACCTTCTTCTTACTGTGACAAAGCACCTCCCCTCTCCATCATCAGGGTGGCATCACAGAAAGCCATATAGGGAGCCCAGACTTTTGTCCCTGACAGTAAGGTGACATCCCTGCCCCTCCCAGCAGACTGGGCATTCTCAGTAGAGGCCTAATAGGGTGCCTGAGCTCCCACCCCCACCAAGCAGTAATGAGGAGTCCCTCAACAATTGGATGGCAACAGAGGTCCCATGGGAATCTGGACTTCTACTTTGATTTCGCAGTAATGAGGCAGTACCAGGCTGTCAGAGGAGTCCTGCTACAATAGAAGATTTAAATAAGAGCAACAGTATTATTACATATCACTCAAAATGTCTAGGTTTTAATAAATACTCATCATACCAAAATATCTTACTAGAATTGAGAAAATATCAACTTGTAAGAAAAAAGAAAACCAATGCCAACAGAGAAATGACACAGATGTTAGAATTATCTGAAAAGGAACTTAAAGCAGCCATCATAAAAATGCTCCAATGAGTATTTATGAACATGCTTGAAATAGACTAAAAATCAGAAAATTCCGGTAAATAAATAGAAAATATAAATAGAAAAACAAATGGAAATTTTAGAACTAAAAGCTAAAATAACCAAAAGGGAGCCAGCTATGGTGAGGCACCCTTGTAATCCCAGCTACTCAGGAGGTTGAGGCAGGAGGATGGCAAGTTTGAGGCTAGCCTGAGCAACTTAAGGAGACCCTGTCTCAAAATAAAAAATAAACAGGGATGAAGATGTAGCTCAGTGGTAGAGCACCCCTCTGCTCAATCCCTGGTACTACAAAAATATTTTTAATTAATTAAATAAAATTTAAAAGAGGGGTTGGTGTTATAGCTCAGTGGTGGAACACTTGCCTACTATGTGTGAGGTACTGGGTTTGGTCCTCAGCACCACATTAAAAAAAATTAATAGGGGCTGGGGTTATGGCTCAGTGGTAGAGGGCTCGCCTTGCACATGCAAGGCCCTGGGTTTGATCCTCAGCGCCACATAAATAAATAAGATAAAATTATTTTAAAAATTAATAAATAAAGGTATTGTGTCCATCTACAACTAAAAAAATATTTAAAAATTTTTAAAAGAAAGTAGACTGGAGGGCTCAAGTGGTAGTGCGCTCGCCTGGCATGCACAGGGTGCTGGGTTCAATCCTCAACACCACATAAAAAAATAAAATAAAATAAAGATTGTGTCCACCTAAAACTAAAAAATAAATATTTTTTTAAAAAGAAAATAGACTGGAAAAAATAATAGAAGCCAGGTATGGTGGCATATGTCTGTAATCCTGGTGACTTTGGAGGCTGAGGTAAGAGGATTGTAAGGCCCTGACTGGACAGGATAGAATGAGATTGATAGGATAGGATAGGATAGGGCTGAGGATGTAGCTCAGTGGCAGAGCACTTGCCTAGCATCCACAAAGCCCTGGGTTCAACTCTCAGTTCTGAAAAAATAATTAGTAGTCCCTAAGGGAACTGTGGGACCATGACAAAAGATCTAACATTCATGTTATCACAGTTCCAGAAGGAGAGGAGAAAAAGGTAAGACTGAAAAAGTGTTCAAAGAAATAAAGGCTGAAAACTTCTTGAATTTGGCAAAAGACATAACCCTATAGATTCAAGAAGCTGAGTGAATCCCAAATGGAATGAATTC